AACCCCTTCTCTCTTGCTCTGGGGAGCTGGAGGAAAATCATTAGCCAGTCGATGAACATAATCGACTGTAATATTCGGCAAATGTTCAAGACATCTGGAGAAACATACATCCTCTACGTCGTCCATCAGGCTACCGGAAACTAGACACCCCATATCGGTTTCGCAGCCGGAACCAGCATATGCTAACGTGCACATAGTCCATTCATATGAAGTGTGCATTAGGCTACTCTTTATTCGTGTTTTCATACCATGAAGATGCCAGTTTGCATCGTCAATGCAATCTTTATCTTTGCAGCAACTGACATAGAAAACACTAGTTTATTAATAATTTTTTTTTATCTCGGCTCCACTCGGCTCGCGTCGAGAGCTCGTGGCGCGTGATCTTCAGAAATGCGCTGCCCTCTCTAGAGGAAATATCACCACTCTGCTCACATTCTCTGGTGTGAGACAATGTGTATCTCCTGTTTTCTAATAGTTGATTGACAGCTTTTAGATGCATTATTGGAACCGACACTCTCTGGTTGAACGTGTCATCATGTGTGATGCCGTCTGAGCCTTATCTCGTAATTTGTAATTAGTCACGCGGTAATTCCGTATACCGCGGTAAAATAGGGAGGAGGTTTGACGGTATGAAAATTTGGATACCGCCCATGCCTACATACAGCAGATCTTGTTCTTGCTTCTCAGCATGTCTGTCGCAAGAAACAAGCACTGGCATTAGGCGTTTCTCAATACCAAGTAGCCTACGCAAATTCTGACTCAGCCAGAAGGACGCGAGTCCAGTAATTCTGCTAATGGAACAGTGCGTTCTTGAATACGCCACTCAGTTCGCTCTGCTACTCCGGTTATCTCTGTGTGTAAATTTTAGGCAACAAGAAAACGAAATGTTATATAACTTCTTTTCGATTTCATTTGAACACATTTTAAACATTATAAGCACACAAATGTGGTTCATGCAACGCAGCCTATTGATTATATTGACTGCACATATGTATGGTATAAATTTATAACAAAACTAAATCTAAAACACAACCATGCGTCTTTTCGTTTAAATTTAAAAATATTAAACATATTCCAGGCAATATATGTAATGTATAGCAACAATTCAGTCAAATATACAAATTCAGCACTCAAATATATTAAACTTCACTTAGCCTTCTGCCAAAACTATTGCCAGGGAACGAATTATAGATTCACGAGACCAAAGATCGCCTGTTAGGTCTATACAAGACAAATTATATCTCATGTTTAACCACTACAGAGACGTCAGTCAGTGGCAAACATCAGAATGACAAGACGACGAAAGACTGCTCCAGGCAGGGTGCACGAGCACCGAGCACCTGGTCCGGTGATTGCTTTGAATCGTTCTCAGTCAAATTATCATAAATCTATTATTAACCACAGATTTGAGCTTTAAAAAAACTGCATTCTCGCCTGAAAAACTCTTAAAACTACATTTTGTGACACAATATCAGTTTTAGTTTTCTACTGTATATTAAAAAGTGGCACTTCTAATGCCCTTGTAGCACACGCAAGTAGGGATGGGACGATAACCGTTTTCACTATAAACCTTGATAAAAGGTACTGACGGTTAGTATTATCGTTTAAAATTTAATTATCATTAAAGTCCCCGTGAACCGGAAGTTGCAAACGATTTTTCTCCAGTGCTGTGACGTATTTCCAAGTGAAACGGAATATTGAACAGAGGGCAGGGTTTTACTCCAGCGCTCCTCCTCTCCATCTCTCGCTTATTGCAAACTAACGGTTTGAGGGGAGTGGTTAAGCGTTTCCCCACCCAAGTTGTGAAACCTACGTCATCAGAAAAAGAAACCGTTCCAGACCGGAAGTAACTTTCCAGATTTTGATTAAAGATTACCAAGGTAAAACATTTTTTAAATATATTTTTACTTGCACGGATTAATTGTTCACCACAAGACTAGTAATATGCGCTAACAAAGTAAATAGGTTCAATTTTGATTTCACGGGGACTTTAAAACCGTGTTTGATTATCGCGATTTTAATAACTCACTGAATCCTGTCGGCCAGTCTGACGCAGGCGCGCAGCACACAATATTTTTTTAAATTACTATTCGAGAAGGAATGGCGGAAGGCAGTGACCGTGCTCAGGAGGTTTTTCAGCCTTTTAAGAGGACCAAATCTGAGGTGTGGTCATATTTTGGGTTTTACAAAAGTCCTGAGGGAAACTTGATCGAGGATGGTCACCTTGTCTGCCGAACAAAAAGTCACTACAATAGAAACACTTCAAATCTGCCGAGTCGTCTTGTGTGATCATCACCCGAACGCAAGGCAAGTTAACTTTGACCTCAATACCAAAACTACGTCTGGGAAACAATTGGGCACGAAATGTTGTTTTGAGTTGAAACATTTTATGTCACTCACTTGAAATAGACGTCAAGCTTCCGCGAAGAAAAGTTCGTAGCAAGTGGCTTTGAGCCAAATACGAACGAACAACTTCAAACAAGACTATTATTAAGAGTGATATTTTAAGGGATAGTAAAGTATAGATACATCACGTATTAAACCGATTTTATTTTTACCACATAATTGCGGGGACATATTGAATTGATAATGAGATTAGCTAATGTTTTAAATCTTACCCGTTTATGAATTCATTTTGTAAAACAATCATCCAGACAAGATATATCACACCAATATTATCGAACTATGTAAAAAATAAATCAACTCTAATTTCATTTTTGCAATACAATCAAAAACCGGAGACGCAAGACGGCAAGTTGTATTTGAATGAAACAAGAGCGCGCGTCCGTTGTGAATGTTATGGATGTGCGCTGTGTAATAATGCGTTGCTATTGACGACGGGCATTATAAAGAAGCAAATGCCATAGAATAGAATCTTGCTTAAAAAACTGCATAGAGAGGCTTGTTTTATTTGTTGTTTGTTGATTTTCAATTATAAAATGAAATGAAATGTTTTCAGTGTGAGCATCAGTTCTTTTTGAGCACTTTCATACATTTTTTACAAAAACCGTGATAATATTGATAATCACGATTATTTTGGACACTAAATTTTCATACCGTCCCATCCCTACACACAAGTGACGATAGTCTGTCAACCAATCACCGTTCTGCAGTGAGACTAGCTCCACCTTTTAGTACCATACTACTGTGCCATAGACATAATAAATACATAGACGCCCTATTGGCCGCTTTGGAACGTTGCTGCGATACGTCAACGTGTCCGCCATTTTGCGGAGTTCAAGACTACACTGTAATTAAATGCAAGTAAACGGGTGAGCTGCATTTTTTCTGGATAAAAACATTCTTGGATAAGAATGGTAAAGACCCCCATACTGAGATATTTAAGTTTGCTCATTGTGGAAAAGGCATTTTATGTGATTGACCAGATTTAAGCAATAACATTGATTACTGATGGATCCTTTATGATAATACATATGTTGTGGTACAACTGGGCATACAGTGCAATGCAAATAGTAATTATAACATAAAGTGAGAAGTAATAGTAAATAGTTTAGTCAATAAAATAAACAAATAGTATACAACAAATAAAATGGCAATGAATACTAGTATAATTATATAAAAATATTGATAATAGTATAGTTTATTGATAATACTATAATAATAGCAATAGAATAAGACATTTCAACTACAGAATACACAAAAAAATAAGTTAAATAGTGACATATATTTAATATTTAGCTCTTTTTGTTAAATTTCAGTTTTATTGATCAGTAAAGGCTAGCCATTATATTAAGTAGCTTCAGTCACACATACAGCAGGATACAATATTAAAATAGCCTAATTATAAAGTTATGAAACTTTACTTTGCCCTCAGCCTTTGCCCGCGGCTGCGGATTAATTCTTTCTATGCACACACAATATGATGTCACACGTCACTCTGCGCTCAGCCTATGTTTTAAAAATATAATTGAACATGTTAATAGTCCTAGCACGTTTTAAATAACCCACTTAAAGTGTTTATTACAAATAAATTACTAAATGCTTAAAATAAATGTAAATGAACAATTTTCGGCACATTTACAATCCTGTGAAAACACCTCCCGTGCCCCTGTCCACATTACTCTCCTAGGACACGTTTCGTCGGCCATCCGTCCCTTGGCAGAAGCGCGTCGGGGGTTTCTATCGCCATTAAACCGCGGAGACGTCGCCCAATGCCTCAGAAAATCCGATCTGCCTGTTTACATGACAGTCGCATTGGCACATATCCGATTTATTTCCACATATGAATGAAGCCTGAAACCGATCTGGAAATATCCGAATGCATGCGTTTTGTTCCTGTTTACACTGTCATAGAACACATCCGATCTGTGTCACATATGAGCAAAAAAATCGGAATTGGGTCACATTTCACTGACAGTGTAAATGAGGCCTAATTGCGTACCGAACTGTAACGCTCAGTGGAAATGAGCCATTAGAAACCACAAGTAATCTTGATGTTTTCTTCCAAGCATTCACATGCACTTGTAAATGATGCTGAATATCCACCAGAAACAACTTAAGTGGAATTCCACAATGCTCTTGCACGTCTCCTAATCAGAGCAAAAAGCCACTGAGCCAGAGAAACTGCAAAAACTGCAGACAAACTGCAACTAAGGGACGTTCAAGGATTTGTCAAGGACTTTAGTGCTGATACATGCTGCTCCCTAATTTCAAAGATGTGCATTATGCTAAATGCGGACTTTAAAGTCAAACGTAGTAATGTTTCGATATAGTCTTGTTCAGTAAATTAAAGTAGTTTGTCAAATGTTTCAGGCAAGTAGAAAACCACAAACAAACAAAAATCTAGGGCACGTCTATACAATGTGAAAAAAAGTGCATGCTTTCAGTTGAGATAAATGGGTCAAACACCTGACCGACATTGTCAGCACATATAACTACTAACTACTAAACAGGAGTGCTGGAACAAATCAGATATCATTTGAAAATTAAAACAATTCCAAAGTAGTTTGGGGGGGAAATCCTCCATGACCAAAACATACCTGTGGTAGAGGTATTGAAAAATTTCCCAGGGTCCTCTGGCACTTTGTGAGCACTTCTCTCACTGCTGAGAGTGAAAGGGGCCCTGCTGGGGGCCACAGCCTCCACGCTGGCAGGCTGGTTCACCCTACTGTTGGGCTCCAGCGTCAGACTGGCCTGGGAGCCCCCTGTGGACGACACTTTGGGTTTAGACTGGGCTACGCTACGAGACGTGACCGGCTTGGATTCGTCATCACTGTCGAATCCGAACGGATCCTCTGAGCCATCACCTTCTGAGACCTTGGACCTCTTGGTCTGATCTGTCAACTCAGTCTTTAAACCAGGCCTCTTTGCTCCCACCTTGGCCTTGTAAGTCGTCTCACCCCATTTGGTGCTGAGCGTGGCCCTTTTATTGGACAAAACCTCGTCAAACTTGGAGGTCCCATCTCCTCCTCTTCGGCTGTATGTTTTTCCAAATCTAGACGTCATTGTGGCATCCGTCTCATATTCCCTGTAAACAATAATAAACTGTTTCATGAATAACCCACTGGCTGTTTTGCAATCAAATGCTGACTATTTACAAGTTGCTGCAAGATTCATCTGTTCATAATGAAAAAAAAATGAACATTATTCTGCATTTCGCATGTCTTAGATATTGGGGCTACTTATTATAAAACAGATGCACTCGTAAACTCATTCAAACAAGACAACTACAACTTGAGCTTCTGTGCGTACTGCGTAGGGATCAGAATAATTTTATAATAGGAGTTTGGTTTCTATACACGTCTCACTAACAAAGTAAAAAGGGTTGAAATTAAGTAACTGTCCAACATAAGAAAAGACAATCTGATGCAATAGGCCTAAAATCTGAGAAGTGTAAGCTTTGATATACACAACAGAAAATAAAAAGCAGTGCAAGTTCCAAGATCCTAACTTCTATAACAGCTAGGCCTGACACGATTATTGAATTAATGTCTGGTTGTGGTTATTTGATCTAATCATAATTATTTGAGATAATCACAATAATAGTGCACTGTAGTATAAATTTATATCACATTTTTGCCCTTGCCATGTTCTCAAGTACAGAGAAGGTCAGGTATACAAAATGAAGGTTTGTGGGTTTAATCAATTACATTATATTATTAGAATTAATTATATAAATACTAATTTACACAGCATTAAAAGTTAATACTATGGGCCTATTATAATTTTGTTATTATATAATATATTATTTATTACTGTAGTGTACTCAAAAGTAAAAATAGAACATTATACTGACATAAAACAGAATTAAATTGTTAATCGCAATATTTGTATGACAATTAATCATCAGCAGAAAAATTAATGATCGTGTCAGGGCTACTAACAGCAGCACTAAAAAAAAACAAAACCATTGATTTTAGACAAGCCAAGGCTCTAAAACTATTCCTTGAACTAATGTCATGGCACAATAATATATGGCAATCATAAAGTACTATGGTATAACGAGCTTCATAATTTGAGTCCATCATTGGCTTGGCTTGCAATCTAGCTAGTAGTAACAACTAAAGCAACCCCAACAATATTAAACAAAAAGGTATGCTATAAAACCTTTCGATATTTATATTATAGTCAAACACTGTGACTTTACATACACAAATGAATCACAAATAATTAAATGGGTATAGTCCTTTTGTGCTTTAAATAAGAAAAACTATCTGGAGCAAAGTGTAATCTTACATTTCATAACAACTAATAAAAGGCAGTGCAATATTGTGGCTATAACATCAATAAAAAAATAAATATTGATTTTTAGACTTCAATTTCATGAAGTACCCTAATAAGCAAATGGCATGGAACATCAATATGGCAATCATTCAGTACCATGATATTACCATCATAATAACTTATAGCCCACCATTAGCTTGCTACCAGAACTGGACAATCTCAAAACTATTAAACATAATTTATGCTAGAAATACATTTGATATTATTGCAAGCGCAACGAATGTTCCTCAATAATCAGCAATAAACTGAGAAAGCTAAAAGCTAGTGGGATAACACGCTAATTATATTTATTTCACATGCTGTTTTCTGTTTATCTGTCATTTTAGCAACTTTATTTCCTTCGCTAAGCAAATAATACATTAACCCAACGTTTCTCTCTTTGAATTGAAAACGACATAGGGTCTAAAAAGTAGCACAGTTGATAAAAACAACATATCCATGCTAACGGCTAGCAAGAGCTAGCATGAAGCTATTCTTCATGCTAACATGAAGAAGCTAGTAGGCTAATAAGGCAATGTTATGAAATACACTTCTTTTCCAGCATTAAAACTCAATGAATACTAGGTTACAATGCATATTTAGAATGTACAGGAGAAGTGAGCCCACAGCAGGACCAAATGAGGTTAAATAACGTTACTCGCCAGGTTGGTGAAGAGAGTGAATCCGGGCCTTTGAGTTCCACTAATACTATAAACAAACACTAAATACTGACACGCACTGCCTCACGACCTCCACCGACACAGTTATACGTGTATATGAGATATGGGTTTCGATATAACTAAATATAAACATTCACAGGCTTTCTATTTGAGTTTTCCTCATGTATTTCTCCCTCAATTGTTTCGGCTCTAAAAACACCAACGGCCTCCATTCGCGTTCCCCCTCCTTAACGTTTTCGAGTCACGACAATCGCGTCGCGGCACAGGCGTATCAATCTTGACCAATCACAGGCCGCGAAATGCAGAAGTCAGAGGATTTTCGAGGCGTGTGATTGGCTAGTTTTAGAAAGAGTCTTGAACTTGAACGCGATGGTCGTCACGTACTTCTTCTCATTGAATTATGGGGATTGTAGGCATTTTCGGGTTTATGTTTCAGGTTTATGTTAATGAATTTAATAGAATTACAATTATATATATATATATATATATTAGGGATGGGACGGTATGAAAATTTCATATCACGATTATAGTGTCCAAAATAATCGCGATTATCAATATTATCACGGTTGTGTTAAAAATTTATGAAAGTGCTCAAAAAGAACTGATGCTCACACTGAAAACATTTCAACAAGTTTTATAATTGAAAATCAACAAACAACAAATAAAACAAGCCTCTCTATGCAGTTTTTTAGGCAAGTTTCTATTCTATGGCATTTGCTTCTTTATAATGCCCGTCGTCAATAGCAACACATTATTACACAGCGCACATCCATATCACAACGGACGCACGCTCTTGTTTCATTCAAATACAACTTGCCGTCTTGCGTCTCCGGTTTTTGAGAGAAATCAGATTTGATTTTTTGTTTACAGAGTTTGATAATATTGGTGTGATATATCTCGTCTGGACGATTGTTTTACAAAATGAATTCATAAACAGGTAAGATTTAAAACATTAGCTAATCTCATTATCAATTCAATATGTCGCCGTAATTATGTGGTAAAAATAAAATCGGTTTAATACGTGATGTATCTATACTTTACTATCCCTTAAAATATCACTCTTAATAATAGTCTTGTTTGAAGTTGTTCGTTCGTCTTTGGCTCAAATCCACTTGCTACGAACTTTTCTTCGCAGAAGCTTGACGTCTATTTCAAGTGAGTGACATAAAATGTTTCAACTCAAAACAACATTTCGTGCCCAATTGTTTCCCAGACGTAGTTTTGGAATTAAGGTCAAAGTTAACTTGCCTTGCGTTCGGGTGATGATCACACCAAGACGACTCGGCAGATTTGAAGTGTTTCTATTGCAGTGACTTTTTGTTCGGCAGACAGGGTGACCATCCTTGATCAAGTTTCCCTCAGGACTTTTGTAAAACCCAAAATATGACCACACCTCAGATTTGGTTCTCTTAAAAGGCTGAAAAACCTCCTGAGCACGGTCACTGCCTTCCGCCATTCCTTCTCGAATAGTAATTTAAAAAAATATTGCGTGCTGCGCGCCTGCGTCAAACTGGCCGACAGGATTCAGTGAGTTATTAAAATCGTGATAATTAAACACGGTTTTAATGATAATTAAATTTTAAACGATAATACTAACCGTCAGTACATTTTATCACGGTTTATAGTTAAACCGGTTATCGTCCCATCCCTAATATATATATATATATATATATATATATATATATATATATATATATATATTGTCAACATTGATTCATTGATTGTCAACATTTTGGGAAAAGCAAGCATGTTTTAATTTGTTTATGTAGCATTTGTTTGTTTTAGTAAGGAACATCATTTGTGTCATCTGATTCGACCGTAAGTGGACTGCGAAGTGGACTTCACAGGGTATTTCGCCATCTTAAGTGAGATTCCAATTCGAAGGGAACAAACATGTTCAGTTCGAAGGGCACTGCAAACGGCATAGGGACTAAGGGAACATCGATACATCACTTCACAGGAAGTCAGTGAAGTAGACTTCAAATGATAAACCGTGTTCAGGGAGTAGGGAGCAGTGAACACTGCATAGGGAGGGACCCTGTCAAATGGAACGCACCTTAACAGATCAAGTGACCCAAATGTATCCTAGCAACAAAACTCGTCAACAAGACGTTTAAATCATAGACCACAAACTCTACGGACATTAAAGTCTCGATCTCTCTCACTCTTCATCCATCTGTAAAGTAAACTTTTTATTTTTTTTTATATTTTTAGTGTTTATTCATGATAAATAGTGAGAAACACCTCGCTCATTACACATCTTTGGTTTTTAAAAGTTAATATTTGGGAACCTGATGTTGACTGTCAGTCAAGACAAGTGAAAGCATTTTTTTTTTTTTTTTTTTTTTTTTTTTGATTTTTTGGGGGGGATATTTAAACAAAATGCACATCCAGTGGAGTCATTTATCTGCCAGGAATATGCCACCCAGACCTCACACAAGGTGGGTTAATGCACAAGAAGTGTCATAGAATTACTAGAACAGGGTCCTAATTTTTTTAAAGTGTAAATTACAATCTTCCACTGCAGGGGTTTCATTCTTTTAGATCCCATGCATGGACACCCAAATATGATCAGTCATTAGTGACCCCATCCCAATTAGTAATTGAACTTTTATTAATTAATTTATTTATTTATAGCAGTTTTACTAGTTTTAAATGTTGTTGTTGTTGTTGTTTTTGCTAATCAAATGCAATTGATTGATTGATTGCTTAAATTATAGCAGCTTGTTTGAGATGCATCCTTGCCTCGCCTGAAATGTATGCGAGAGTAACTTAGGCGGCTGCAGTGAGAAGAGGAGTGAAAAAAGCGCAGGCAAGCCGGACAAATTTTGCTTCTCACAGTGGATCAGACACCTGTGAGATCAAAGACTGATATTGAGGGATTCACATGATTCACACTCGTGCACGGTGTTGCAAATAACTTATATGAAAATAAATATAACGAACAAGACACCCAAAGAACTTGTTATTTAATTACATTCCAAATATGTGTTTATCAATATTTTTTTTTCTTTAAATGGTTAGATCACCCAAAAATCAAACTTAAGTAATGAGTAATGAATTACTCACCCCCATGCTGTACCAACCCATAAGACCTTCGTTCATCTTCGGAACACAAATGAAGATATTTTTGACTACAGTGGCTCAAGCATAAGATCATCAAGTGACGAGAATACATTTTGTGAGGAAAAAAAACAAACAAAAATAACGACTTTATTCGACCATTCCTTTTCTTACAGTAATAATAATATAGCATAATCAACACACGGAGGCGCCAACGCGTGAACTGCAGCTCATCTCATAAATTAACCAAAACTTGCCTCACAGACGTGAGAAATATATAGCCTATATATTATATTATACTGTATATACTATGTAATGTTTATTGCATGTCATTCATGTTCTGAATGTTTTGCTTCACGGTAGCCTTCACTTAAAATCTTTAGTCCAAGATTTGCCTGATGGGCAGATACCTAACTATCAAGGCTGGAAGTTTAACAAATAGAGAATTTTGAAATAACAGTTGAAGATACAAAATGGCTTTTACAGAAAATTAATGTTTATAAATCCCCTGAACCGGATCTGATACACCCTAGGATCCTGAAGGAACTGGCGACTGCTGAACCACTAACAGCACTATTTAACAAATCATTAGAGAATTCAGTTTTACCAAATGACTGGAAAAAGGCTCAAATTAGTGCAATTTAAAAGGAAATAAATCTCTAGTTGGAAATTACCAACCAGTTAGTTTGACGTCAGTTGTTAGTAAAACAATGGAAAAATTGATTAGGACATATATAGTCAATCATATTTAAAAAAAAAAAAAAAATTATTCAGTAGTAGCCTAAACAATATGGTTTCATATCTGGGCGGTCAACCTCTCTTCAGTGACTCACAGTTTTTGACAAATGGTCACAAGCTTTGGATAGAGGACAAATAGTTGACTGTGTTTATCTGGACTTTCAAAAAGCCTTTGATACTGTCCCACACAAAAGACTAATATCAAAGTTAACCCTCAGGTGCTCTTCGTTTCGGAGTCACACTTGTTATCTTCCCGGGCAAAAGTGACCGGACACCTAAAAATGAAACTTTCTCCATCCCAGTAAAACCAATGCAATTTATTTTTGTTCTATAATATTTATTCTTTTTAATTTAGTATTTTGAGACAATTTAAATGAATGTATTAATATTTATGCAATATTTATGGTTTATTTTTGCCATGGAAAAATATATATTATTTTATATATATATTTATTTATTTATTTTTTTCAAACAAAATATTAATGCAGTATTTTAGTTTAATATAGAGTCTAGGCCTTCAGAAAAAAAATTTCAAAAGCACCATCTGGTTACAGTATAGAGAAAAAGCGTAGAATCATGGTGTAACCACTAGATGGCATGTACAGCTCTCTATGGAGGAGCATGTGAATTCCCCAGCTGTTTATGAACACATTTTTGTTGTTGTTGTTGGTGGTGGTGGTGGTGGATTAACAATCACAAAAACTATTTCTTATAAAAAAAAATGACAAAAAACAAATATTCACAATTTTTTTAAAATTTTTTTACAATTTCCCATTCATTTCCTATGGGGTCATTTTTGACCAAAGACCACAAGTGTGACTATTTTTTTAAAGACCACTTAGCATACTCAGATCATGACCTCAATTTTTTTGTGTGTTCACATACATAATGCCATAAAAGTCACCAAGTTTCGTAACATCGCGATGAAGCTGTGATTTTAAAAAATTCAAAACATACTTTTTGTAATCAAAATTTATTGGTGTGTATGTGTATAAAAGTGTGTTTGTATGTGTGTGTGTTGGTGGGTGTGTCTGTTTTGCACTCTAGATGTTGTAGAGTGTCACCCCTTTCTTGCGGTGTACTTTTTTTTTTTTTAGAATTGTGGCCGATTTGTAGATTGTACATACAAAAAATTTTTTGTGTCAATTTCCCATTCATTTCCTATGGGTCGTCATTTTTGACAGAAGAGCAAAAGTGTGACTCATTTTTTTGCGATCACTTAAATTGCTCGAATCATGACCTCAATTTTTTTGTGTGTTCACATACCCAATGCCATAAAAGTCACCAAGTGTCGTAATTTTCTGAAGAAGCTGTGATTTTTAAATATTCAAAACAGATTTCTTTAATCACAATTTATTGGTGTTTTTGTGTATAAAAGTGTGTGTGTGTGTGTGTGTGTAGGGGTGGGTATGTCTGTTTTGCACTCTTGATGTTTTAGAGTGTCACCCCTTCAATGCTGAGCACTTTTTTTCTGCATCGTGGCCGATTTGTAGATTGTACACAGAAAAATTCTCAAAGTTTTTGTGTTTTTGTCAATTTCCCATTCACTTCCTATGGTCGGTCATTTTTGACCGAAGACCACAAGTGTGACTATTTTTTTTACGACCACTTAGCCTGCTCGGATCATGACCTCAAGTTTCGTAACATTCCGATGAAGCTGTGATTTTTAAAATTTCAAAACAGAAAATTTTTGACCGAAGAGCACCTGAGGGTTAAAAGTGAACGGTGCTGCGTCAGATTGGAAGCCGGTGACATCTGGGGTCCCACAGGGATCAGTCTTGGCCCTGTTTTTTTTGTAATGATTTGCCAGATATGATACAGTCTGATGTTTACCTTTTTGCAGATGACACTAAAATTTTCAGAACTATAACAAGTGACACAGACCAAGCCCATCTTCAAGAAGATCTATGTAGCATGAGCAAATGTAGCCAGTGGTTATTAAAGATAAAACCTGAAAAGTGTAAACATTTACATATTGCTGGAAAAAAAATGGATATATTTTACCATTGTATAAATCACTGGTAAGACCACATCTTGAATATGCAAGCTCAGTCTGGTGTCCATATAAATTAAAATGAGTGGAAAAAATTTAAAGGAGAGAAGAGCTCCTAAATTATTTCCAGGAATGAAAAATATGACATGAAGATAGATTGAGGAAATTACGTTTACCAACCCTCAAATTTAGGAGATATAGAGGAGACTCACAGGGATGAACCTATCTTGCAGTTTTGGAATAATCGGTACAAGACACGAGGGAATTCTTTAAAACTTTACCCTAGAACATGCTTGTCTGAAAAGAGAAAGAACTTTTTTTATGCTCGGTGTGGTTAAATCATGAAATGAGCTTCCAGAAGAAGTTGTGTGTCCCCCTTCAATTAATTCCTTTAAGAACAGGTTGCTAGTAACTTACAGTAATTAATTTTACATAAATTATTTAGGATTGTTAGGAAAACTTCACGTTTTTTTGTTTGTTTTTTTATAAAATATTAAAATGTGAATTTATATGTATGTATGTATGTAGTTTATTGTATATCCTGCACCAGAAATCTTTTCAATAAATTTCAATAAAGATTGTTAGATAACAAAATTTGCCACTGAATTAGTTTAGTCCGGTTATAGGGCTATGTACAACCGCGAACAGCACATGTCCCTGAACTCCGAACGACATCTCTCATAAAGGTTTGCGACTTAGTTTAAATAGTAAAACATTATCCGAAAAACACCTATAGCCTCTTCACTAAAAAGTAAATAGCACACAAAATACCATTGGTATGCCACTTCTGCCGCCTGACCGGAAGTTGCACCCACTTTAATTTTTACAGTAGCACCCCCGGAAACACTAACCCCACATATGATAATTCCTGTTTGACGGACCCCCATCCTAAACTTTAAAGGTCAACTATAGTTTCATATAGCCTATAGTTATGGTTAGTTAGGCAGCCAAGACTCCATTTAAAGATTTAATATGCATAATATTTAATTTGGAAAATATTTAGTCTGTATTACATTACATGAAACTCACAATATTATGGCATTAAATAAATATATGCTTTTTTCTATGATTTATTTATTTAATGTATTTTTACACTGTCTGAATCGTTCCCTATTCCCTATATTTTCGGTGATAGGGAATGATCCTATTTAGTGTCACCATGTAGAAAATAGTAACTGTGTGAACAAGTAACCGATTTTGGCTCCAGCTTCAGCGTCTAATCATATAGGGGTGTGGGATGCTTCAGATTCTGGAGAGCATTTGATTAGACAGAAAATCTAATGAGAAGCTGAAGTGTAGCATGATGTCATAAAAATCACTGATCCATATATTAGTATATCCGTATATAAGTAAGAGACTGTCATAATGTCTTGAATGCATATTTATTCTAAATTCAAATTGTGTCATTGTTTTAGAGCACACTAGCTTATACACTGAAAAAAATAATATGCTTTATCTAATCAATAAAATTGTGGCAACATATTATAAGCAATATTATTTATTAAATTGAACAAATTAGAATTGAGTGGTAGTTAATCAAATTAACATTATAATTAATTCTAATTTGTACAATTTAATTAATAATATTGCTTATAATATGTTGCCACAATTGTATTGATTAGATAAAGCATATTCATTTTTACAGTG